AGCTTGGTTCGAGCATGAGGCTGAGAGTGCATGTTTCACAGAAAAGTATTATGCTATCGCTGAGTTTTAAGCACTCAGAACCTCTGGTCTAATCTGGCATTTCTGGATGGCTGAAGCAGAAACATTGAGAATTTTCTCACAAGAACAGTTTTTTTTCTTTTTCTTCTTTTTTAAACAGTCTTGTTCTGTCATCCAGGCTGGTATGCAATGACACGATCATGGCTCACTGAAGCTTTGACCTCCCGGTCTCAAGCAATCCTCCCACCTCAGCCTCTGTCGTAGGTGGCTACCACCATGTCCAGCTAATTTTTTAATTTTCTTGTAGAGGCAGAGTCTCACTGTGTTGCTCAGGCTGGTCTCGAACTCCGGGGCTCAAGTGATCCTTCTGCCTCAGCTTCCCAAAGTGCTGGGATTACAGGCATGTGCCATCGTGCCCAGCTGGGAATAGCTTTCTTAATGTGTTGGTGTGTGTTTTTTGTGTGATACATGTGCACTTAGCAAAAGCAAACCAACTTGGAACCAGTTAGTGGTCAGAAAGAATTGAGTCTCCAAAGAAAATTGAACTAGGACTTAATGTTGATATTCTTTTGGACATCAGAGGGGACTTTGGTTTACTTAACCTGTATTGCTTTTCCAGGAAAATAAGTCAATCTGTTATACTTCTCTTTTAGGCTGGCTTTAACCTACGCAAAGTTAACAAACACATAAAGTTTCCGGAAATCTTAGATTTGGCTCCTTTTTGCACCGTTAAATGTAAGGTAAGTGAAAGTGGTCTTTTTCAGGAAAGTCCTTTAAAGTCAAATCATAGCTTACTTACCTAATGCTCCAGTAGCAACTCACTTAAGTATGAAGTTGATAACAATTACTGAGTAGAGTGGGTCTTTGATCATTGTACCTTTATAATTTGAAGATTAGTGATGAATCATTTTGAAGAATGGGTTATTTCAGTTCAACGTTTAGAATCCCCTTTATTATGGCACACATTGTGTTGTGAGCTGAAGGCATAAAACTAAAGGTGAGCACATCTATTAATGAATAATCTCAGTTTAATGTGGTTGAATATTAAGGCTGGTGAACATAGATCAGGGGTGGTATACATTTAACCCAGCATGTTGGTGGTTCAGGAATGGCTTTTTAAAGTAAACCGTGCCTCAACTATATTTAAAGAAGGAGTAAAAGTATGATGAATCAAGATGAAATGAGTTTTGCAGGCAGAAAGAACAGCAGGAGTAAAGGCAACAGGGTAAAATAGGATGGTGAGTGCCAGAGACTGGTAATGTATGTAGTTCTAGAGCTTACAGTACAAGGTATGGGGGAGTTGAGAAATGAAGCCAGAGAAGTGAGATAGGTATGAAGGTTTGGAGGGTTCCCATGGTGTGGAACTTGGACTTCATTAGGTATACAGTGGGGAGCCCTGAGGAGTTTAAAGCATTGGGTGGCACGGTCAGATCTGCATATGACATAGGTTACTTACTGACATATGGAGGCTGGATTTTAGGAGGGAAAGACTAGAGGTGGGGAAATGAGTTAGGTGGCTGTTGCATTAATTCAGCCAGTAGTTGATGAGGGCTTAAAGTTGGGCAGGAGATGGGGAGATAGAAAGACTACTTTAGGAGGTAGAATTAACCAGACTTAATGACTGATTGGCACTGGAAGGTGAGGCAGATGCCTTTTGTAAATGAATGCTGAGGGTGTCAGAGAAAGGGTTGAGGATGATTCCTGAGGCCTGGCTTGACGGATGGGAGTGCTGTAAATTGAGGTAGGAAATATAGGGAGAAAAGCAGGTAGAAAAAGGATAATAACTTGAGTGTTAGATACATTTGAGTGTCAGATATCTTTGAGAAATTAATGTGCTTAGTCTAGAAAACATTTGGATATACATATCTGAGACCTGCAGCAGAGAGGTTAGGATGGGCCCAGGGCAAAGATTTAGAAATCAGTACATATGTGGTGGTTTCAAATATGAGAAGATGGGATCCCTTGCGTATAGTGTCCGAAGAGAGAAAGAGGAGATGGCCAATGACAGGACCCTCGTAAGTATCTGAGTGGAATAGGCAGGTGTAGAAAGTGAGGACGCCACAAACGATCTCAAAGAATCTCCATGTTGAAGAATTTGGGGCTGGGCGTGATGGCGCACGCCTGTAATGCCAACACTTTGGGAGGCCAAGGCAGTTGACTCACTTGAGGTCAGGAGTTCGAGACCAGCCTGGCCAACATGGTGAAACCCTGTCTCTACTGAAAATGCAAAAATTAGCCAGGCATGGTGGTGTGCACCTGTAATCCCAGCTACTCGGGAGGCTGAGGCAGGAGAATCGCTGGAACCCGGGAGGCAGAGCTGCAGTGAGCTGAGATTGCGTCACTGCACTCCTGCCTAGGTGACAGAGCAAGAAACT